AAAGTTCTATACTTCCACTGACTTTACAACCTCGCATCATTGTGTTATGCAGTGTTATACATCTAAAAAAAACATTCAGCTGTCAGTGTGTAAGTTCATTTCCTCTCAGTGTATCTCATTGCCTCGAGTTTCTCTAAGAAAAATGTTTCTGGGACACCTGGTCTTAGCGGTAGGAAGCATACAGAACAATGTGAGACCTAGAAAGCTCTGCTGCTCAGTGAAAGACATAAATTAACACTTAATAAAAGCCGATCTGTGACCTTTTCCATTGTGTTTGCAAAAGTACAGTAACTCACATGAGAGAGTACTTATTTAGTCGTTATAAAGTGAAACTTATTGACCCAAGCCAGTATCTGTGTCAACCCACAACTGTGGATAAAGTTGGAGGTGATATGAAGCATGCTGCAATACCGTGAAACACGCCGAACCACAAGAATGACCTGCCATTATTGTTTGGTATTTGTTTTTAAGGTCAGTAAGTTTCCACCGTTTTTGTCCAGATGAATGGAAGAGGTGCTGTTGAATGAAAATCAAGGGAGAAAAATGAGCTGCCAACCAGGTGCTTTTTAGGCGAGCAATCACAATCCAGCAGGGATGGGATGGACATGAAGGTCACCTGCACTGTGAACAATGACACCTTACGCTGCCGGTACACACACATGCACAAATGACCACACACTCACCATTCAAACCTGTTTTGCTTACATTTGAGCTGAATTTAGATAATGCAGTATCAACTGTTGGCAGTTAAATAACTGCAGAAATAGAGTTCCAGCTTTTTGAAAGCATAAAAAGAATGAAAAAAGACAAAATTGCATTCAGTCTTTTTGCGTTTAAGCTTTATGTTAATCTCTCTGTCATACAATGATTCTCTGGTGTCCCTTTCCATCATAGAAATCGCAGCTGTGTATGGTTTTAAATGGACAATAATTCATTTCATCATTTATCATTATACTAACTGGGGCACTGTGGTTGTTATGCTTTTGTGAAATGAAAGAAGAAAATGAGCTGTAGTTGCTTTTTTTCTTCTTCTTCTTTTTTAGAAGACTTCTATTACCCAGGAGCTGCAGGAAATAATTAGTAATAAATAGTCAGTAATAAACTTAACTCATAAATCTAGATATAATTTCCAGGCACACACATCTGGTAATCCGTTTATGGCAATCCCCATTGAGACACAGCATTGCACCAGGTTTTTCTGTCTGCGTGCGATTTCCACATCAAGCTTTACACTGTGACAATAAACACAGTCAAGACAAATAATCATAAAATAATCAACCTATGTAAATGCCAGTGATTTCAGTTATTTGTCTGCTTCTATCTGGTTCCATCTCCACTCTCTGCATCAAAGAATAAAAATGTCTTTTGTTTACAGAGAACAAACCTACACAGGAGTAGGACGAGCTACTACAGTTCTGCCAGGGTGGTACTTGTAAACTAAGTGTAATTTCTCACATATGAGGTGCCAAGGTAGGGACATAACAAAATGAAGTGTCTTCATTTAGAGCTGGGCTCCATAAAAGATAATGAAAATGTCACTGTGCCTTATGTAATTTGTATGCTGTGACAGCTTACCACAGCGGTGATAGCTATGGTAAGCTGGTGGCATTTATAAGCAATGAGAGTGTTCCTCCTAACAGCAAGGGCTATTTTAAAAAGGTCCTGTTAGCTGAGATGGAAATCCTAATTTGGCAACATCTTATATAAGCAGTGTGAATTTATTCTGACTTTTACAGAGGTGTCATTGTAGAGGAAAAAATATGTCACAACTATAGCAAAAGAACAAGAAAGGAAGGCTGCAATCACAAGGGATGGCTGTGGATAAACATGCAGTGCATTTAACCTCAAGTTGCCTTTTTTACTTCCCTGAAACACCTTACAAGTTTTCTGGCAAGCTGCCCTGAATGTGCATATTTTCAAAGATGTGAAACCACATCTCTGCTTTTGCTTTTTTCTTCAGAGTCAGGGCTTCATTAGATCTGCTGTACTGAGGAACTGAACATAAAGTGATTGTTCCTGCAAAGCCTGCTCATCTCCAGTAAATATCAATAGATGCTGGGCATTGACTGTTGCAGCTAAAATGGATTGTGACTTTTTATGCTTTACTTAGCTAATGACCCTGCTAATTTCATTTGCTACACCAGCTAAGTGACTGACAGCAGCTGGCTTTGCAGCTGCCTAGCAACAGCAGAAGCCTGGTACCAGTTTTCCTGCATCAGGGGTGTCCAAACTTTTTTCACTGAGGGCCACATACATAAAAATATAGGAGGGGCTGGGCCACTTACAAGAAATTAGGTATATAATCTTAACTTTAGTGTATTAAAGTTAGAAAAATCACTTAAAAGTGGCTGAATATGTTATATTGTTGAATATAATTAAAGACAAAACTACCTTCATCACAGCTTTCCATAAATGGATCTTTATTGACTTATTCAGAAAAAGCTTTGGTAGCTCATTCTCAGAACAGCAGCCTCAGATTTCTTCTTAGACAGAAGATTTACAGTACAGAGAAAAAACAGGGGAAAATGGGACAGGTACATTTCAAGTTTGTTATTTAAGTTATTAGGCTTAGCAACACTATTAACGTTGTTTGAAACCGTTATCAACATTAACAGACTGAACTGGACTTAATAACAGGAGTCCATATAATCTTAGTAAATTATTCTGGTGAGTATCAGCTGCGCTGGGTATGTAAATCGGGCCATCCAGCCGCGGTGCTGATCGCCACTCGTGCTAAAAATCCGGACAAATGTCACTTGATCAAGGAGCAAATCTGCATCAGATGAGATCAGCTGACTTCTTTGCGTCTGCGTGCGCTGTGCACAGCGGCGTGTACTCTGTGTGTTAACAAGAAAAACGCATATAAGAAAGTGGTGCGCAAAAGCAGGGTAGTGACAGAATTGATGCGCATTATTGATATTTGAAGCATGTGTACCTGCACATTAACACACGGGTACGGTGGAATATATTTTTTACTCACCTAAAGCGCTCGTGCTCTCGTCCACTCCCCGCAAAAAATTAGCAGCTTTGCGGTGTCTGTGGCATCGGTGCTCTCATCGCATGCGATGGAGTAAAAATCAAAAGCACAGCTTTATCAGACAGTTGCAGTTTAATGTTGGCCGACGAGTCTTCAATGCATCGCACAACTGTATCTCTGGACATGCTGACGTTGTTGAAGTCCTGCACTTTTTCCACATTATTTCGGTGACTTTAACGAGGCCGTGTTTATGAGGTCTCCATCTGAAAAAGGCTTGCCATGTCTTGCGATGAGTTGGGTGACCTCATAGCTGGCTATTGTAGCCTTTTCTTGGACCTTTCGAGCACAAAAAAAATACTGTTGCTGACCCTGCAGGACAGCTACCCTTTGCTTTAATTTCTGCTCTCTCTCAGCACCAGTGTAAGATGCATAGGCCTGATGTTTGGTTTCATAATGGCGTCGTACATTATACTTTCATAACCGCCACAGTTTCAGTGCAGATCAAACAGACACACGTCCCTTGAATTCTCTGAAGAAATATTCACTCTCCCAACGTGTCTGAAATTTTCTGCATTCACTTTCTACCTTTCGCTTCTTTGGTTCTGCCATGTTTAGTAACTTGGGGTAAATTTCTTCTGTGATTGTCCTTTTTGGTGGAGCAACTGCCTTGATCAACAGAAGCTCCCCCTGGTGTTAAAACTAAGAAGTGCAATACGCTCAAGCAAAAGTTGAAGTGCGGACAATATTCTATTCTATTTATAAAATTACTGGCGGGCCAATTAAAAATGGATCGCGGGCCGCAGTTGGCCCGCGGGCCGGAGTTCGGACACCCCTGTCCTGCATGTATGATGCACCACCTGTTTCGAAGCATAGCAGATATCAGATTCTGTAATGCAACGCTAAAGACTTTAAAGTAGAATGGGCTAATTATCAAAATGAGTTAGTCCTCCAACAGACTGGCACCATGTCCAGGGTATATCCCGCCTCTCAACCTGCTGCACCTTGAGGACGGCCTGGGATAGGCTTTAGCCTACACCACAACAATGAACTAGACAAGTGAAAAACAAATGTGTAGTTGGATTATCAAATTTAACATTAATTTACATTATTATAAATAACAAATTTTTGCAAAATGACCCAGTTTGTTCTTTCCAACTGCAAAAGTTGTCCAATCCAATTAAACCTTCCTTACAAAGCAAGCAATACTGATAAGGTTATTGCAGTAATAATAATAAGAATGTTTGTGTTTTTGTTAATAAAATGATATTTGACTGACAACTATTTTGATTGGGAGAATCTTGTGAACAGAAAGCCACACAGCATGTATATACACATGAAGGATGTCTCATTTGTTGCATGGTGAACTGGCTTGTCTGGACTGTCACAGGCATCAGCAGCCAGCATTATAACCCTGTGGTGCAGCTCGCTTATTGTCTGTCACTTGGTATATGTCTACAATTTGAGTCTGTTTTCTCTCCTCTTACAAGTGAGATTGTTTTGTTGCCTTTTGTTTTGGCTCTATTTGATTAAAGGATTAAACTATTTTTCCATAACGCTTAGACATTGAGTAACAGTTGTTATCCCAGGTTCATTCAACACAGACAAGCTTACAGTGTAGTATTTTAGCAATTTCTGATGGAGGAGATTATCTCATTTGGGACAAGAAAGTTTAAACCACATTTATGGCATGGGCTTTCTTCAGCAGTGCACTCAGTGATATCAAACTATACACTCCTTTACATAGGGTTCTACCTTTCAGATTTTATGCTCTGTTTACCAACATTCCTAACCAAGCACTTCCCAAGTCAGGATAAACCATGAACGTATATGCTTTTTCATTTTTTTTCCAACTGGAAGAACTTTATATTCTTTACATTTGTCTCCTAATTTTGTCAAAATTCGCAGCGTAGAAAATACCATATGTAGCACAGATGTCCCAAATCAACAGATCCTGCCTTACATGGTAAAGTCGTCATAACAGTCGCAATTCTTGCTAGAATTAGAAATAATTACATGGTCCTACCTTAGCAATGGTCTCATGGAACTTGAAAAGTGGGTCCAGGGTTTCTGGTGACTCTGAAGAAAACTGGGCCTCTGACAGAAAACTGGTGGTCTAAAAGAAAAGGGGTGAATAAAAAAAGAAGAAAAAAGTCTTAAATATAAGATGATAAAGTTACTATGTCCCGTTTTTTAAAGTATGAGAAACATTCCATGTTAGTGAGCGACAACAATGATTTGTTTCTCCATAGTATTAAATAATAATAATAAAAAAAGACACCTTTCCCTCCAGTTACTTGTTTTTTTTTTTTCATATATTCTAATTTGTTCTCTTCTATTCTAAGCGGGAAAGAGTGGAGTGACCTGTCAAGTTTTTGACAGGAAACAACAGTAAATGCTCTCAAGGCCACAGAGCTGCTCAGCTTTTGTGTTGTGGTGTCAAACACACACACACACACACACACACACACACACACACACACACACACACACACACACACACACACACACACACACACACACACACACACACAAACTCACAGGCGGACGGCTACACAAAGTCAACCATGACTACACGCCACCTAAAATTACCTCACTGTCACCTCAGTATACTATGTAACGTCCTCAAAAAACAAAGTACCTCACTGTGACTTCAAAGTCATTGTGCTGTCTTTGTAGAAGTTTCTTTCTTTCCGTCTTTTTTCCTTCTTTTTTTTCAAATAGAGTCAAACCAAACAGAGAGTTCATGATATCAGAAGTTCAAACACGGCACACTGCAGCAGTCTTGAACATCCTATTAGTTTTTATTTCATCCAGTTTTGACCGGTGTCAATGCTTTCAACAGGAAAAGTAAGTGTTACTTTTCAGTTATTTCTCCATGATAGTACAGGATATTTATATTATTATCATGCTATGAACAGGATATTTTATCTCCACATAAAATAGCATTTTTTCCTTCTCTGTTCTCAACATTGTTGCAATTGCTGGCACCACAAACCTGCAAACTGTCAGGTCTTCTTCTTTTCTCTGTTTGCCTTTCCCTCACAACGAAGGGTCAAAGCAGGTGGCTGCCCTCCATGAGCCTAGTTATGTTGGTGGTTTTGCTGCTTTTTCTCTTCTCGCCTGACTGTCACTAAGAGTTATCTCGTATGTGAGCACTTTGTTTTTTCTAGCCCCATCACTAAACAAGTAAAACTGATACTGATTCTGCAGAAGCTTTTCATTTAGATATATATCTGTATATATATATATATACCTTTGCCTTATGTGATTTTGTTTAGGCAAAGTTTGTGTTTATCGTAAACATCACTCATTTATTCAACTAAAATGAGTGAAAATTGCAGATAAAAAATGAAAAAGGTACAGTATGATCTGTGGGTACAGACATTTACATCCAGTTATATTTATCTTCACTAATTTCTCACTCATTTGCACTTATAGAATCTACTCTTTAGCATTTCAATAATATGGCCTGTTGTGATGTACACTCTCCGGGAATTCTGTGCTTTTGTTTTGCTGAGTGAATTTTTTGTTGTAGTAGTTTGCTACTTAGCACTAATTAGCAGGTATCTGTGTCTGTAAGATGCATCCATATGGGTGTATCTTGCTAACCAAGTTCGGTAGCAGAGGCTGATGACTGATAATGGTAACCTCTTGTTAAAAATCAAGATGGCAATGGTGAAGAACATTCAGGGGTTTTGGCTTCAAAATGCATTTAAAACTCAAGGATGACTTCATGGTAGTTAAGCCTATCTTTTGGTAAAATGTAACAAATGCACCATTTACAAATGTAAATCAAGCTTTCAGAGTTCGGTTTAAACTTGTAGGATGCTGTACAACATTATGATGGACTGGAACAAACGCTCAGAAGTGCATGACTCATCAGGCACCCTCAGGATACTGGAACAAAAGCAAATGTTAAAGGGAAAAAAAAGTTGAATTCCCCATAGATGATGGGGTGAAACTGGCAATGCACTTAACTAGTCAATATAGCAGCCACGGTGAGTACACAGGGAATAGAAGTTTTACTTAACAGTTTGCATATTTATGCATTCCAAGAAGAAACAAGGAGAAAGTTTTCATCAAACCCTGTGTGCTGCCTCTGAATAAATATGTGAATTATTGAACGCAGCATCTGCCTCAAAATATGCCCCTGTTGTTGATGTCAAGTTGCATATGTGCAGAGTTCCCCCAAAAGAATCCTCACCTCCTGCATTCAGAGGAGAAGAATTAAAATGAAATGCACGGATACAGCTGTTGTGCCCTCGCACAAAGACATGGATTCAAGAGGTATTTGAGCCCCGTGGATATCTGTAGCTGTCACTCTCTGTGGTCAGACTGCTTTTTTCTGAAACTTTTGATGGGGACTTGCTGTCATGATGAAGATAACACCACACACACCTACGCGGACACACACTGTGTTAATTAATTTTCCCATTTAAATGAATTATTCCCTGTAATCACAAAGCTGCATGTTGTTGTGTTGCTCAGTTAATATTTTGCTTTTAGACATTTTTCACAAGCACCATTTCCCATAAGCATTAGTGCGTCACATGTTAACAGATGGAAGAATTAGCAGATGGCTTGTATTCAAAGACTGATAAGCAAGACATCTGAACAAAGAAGTTAAGAGAAGTCAAAGGTCAAAAAATGCCAATGAATATGGAAAAAAATGAAACACAGAAAAGAAACATAAGCAGGTTTGTCCTGCTGATCGAGCTTGTGAATACAGGTTGAATAGTTTTTATAAAAACATAAATATTTTATAGAAATAATTCGAATTAAACACTGTAGTCACTTTCGTATAGCATTTCTAACAAGCACTATGCGGTGCTTTATGTCAGATTGACATATTTTCTCTGGGTTTCATGGGTTCAGGATGGTGGGGTTATGGAGAACTGAAGCTGTTAAACCAGAAGAAAATGGCCAGGCTCAAAGATTCCCAAGTGGCATCCACTCTGTACTAAGTGCCCTTTGTATGGCTTATGTACAGCTCACTTTCTTTTACAGTACAGACCCTCTCTGTGCCTCAACACTTAGGTTTGCTCTGACCTTCTCGTGGTGGTTAAAATATTGTAATGCTAAAATGGGTATAATGGGTTGTTATTTATAAAAACATGAGCATTAATCAGCTTGGGTTTGACAACTTCTTAAATATTATATTGATTTGTGCTGAAGGTTACTGCTGGGGTTAAAACAGAGAAAAAAAAAAGCATGAAATGATCAAATCCTCTGCTGGCACAAAACAATGCCTGAACCATACTTTGCCTGAACACACCCACACACACACACACACACACACACACACACACATGTTCAATCAATGTTAGTTTTTCTGAAACACAAAAGGAAGAAAGTGCCTCTTTAGCATGAAGGACAGTGATACCTTTGGATTAAAGGTGTCCTACTCATCAATCAGGAATGTCCTCTATGAAACTAGATGTCCTTGTGACTTAAAAAAATACATTCTGAAATGTCCATTTATTTAAGAATGACTCTCAGCGCTTTCTAATCCTAGTGATAAATGCACATCTTCCATCTATTGCACAGAATAAATCAAATTCCACCAGCATCATCAAGGAGAATTTAAGCTGCACAGGTGTTATCCCCACTGCTCAGACATTCATAAAACAAAAATATTACTTTTGCTAGTGGATCACTTAACTACTGAAACCATTAATATGGCATTGTGGGACTGTTTCTGTCTCTATTATAGTGTGGTGCTACTGTGAAACACGAAAAACAGAAAGTACAAAGCTGTGAAGAAAACAGATGTTACAGTATAATAGTGTCATTATCCATAATGAAGTGCATTATATTGGCGAAAGTATTAACTAATTCGTCCAAATCATCTAATTCAGGTGTTTGAATCACTTCCATGGTCACAGGTATATAAAATCAAGCATCTAGGCATGCAGACTGCTTCTATAAACATTTGTGAAAGAATGGGTCTCAGGAGTGAATTTAGTACAGTACCATGACAGGATGCCACCTGTGCAACACTACTAAATATCCACACTCAACTATTAAATTCAAATTCAAATTTCAAATTCAAATTTTATTTGTCACGTACACAGTCATACACAGTACGATATGCAGTGAAATGCTTGGACAACTGCTCGTGACCTAAAGAAAACAAAAAAAGGAAAGGCTATGAATAAGATAGGAAATAAATATGAAAAATTAAAAAGGGAAATAAATATGAAAAATTAAAAAGGGTAAATTTTACTAGGAAGGAATAAAATATAAATTAAGGTTAAAAATGAAATAACTGTACAACACAAATTAGAATGAAGGGTAAATTTAACTGGGAAAGAATAAGATAAAATATATAAATTAAAGTTGAAAATAAAATAACTGTACAACAAAATACACAATATAGAACTATATAAGAATGTATGAAGAAATATAAATAAATATATACACAATAACAGCAGCTGTACAAGTATTAACTGGAAATGAAGAATGTAGTGACCAGTGTTGTGCAATCCACATTATGTCTTGTGCAGTGCAAATATGCTTAAAGTGATTTAAGTGATGAAGTGAAAACAATGTCCAGAAAGTCCAGTGTGTGTGTAAGAACTATATGTGTGGGTCAGTACTGTGTGGTGGTGTGATTGAGAGACCGTATCGCCTGCGGGAAGAAGCTCCTCCTCAGTCTCTCTGTGTTGGTCTTTAGGGAGCGGAATCGCTTTCCTGACCTCAACAGAGAGAACAGTCTGTTGTTGGGATGGCTGAGGTCCTTCACGATCTTCCTGGCCTTGGTCCAGCACCGCCTGCTGTAGATTGAGTGCAGGTCAGGGAGCTCGGAGCGGATGGTGCGCTCAGCTGATCGCACAACCCTCTGTAGAGCTCGTCTGTCCTGCATGGTGCTGTTCCCGAACCAGGTTAAGATGTTTCCCGCCAGGATGCTCTCTATGGTGCACGAGTAAAAGTTCCTGAGCACCTTGGAGGGCAGTTGGAAGTCTCTCAAGCGTCTGAGGTGGTAGAGACGCTGTCGGGCCTTTTTCACCACGGTGTTGATGTGACAGGACCATGACAGGTCCTGCGTGATGTGAACTCCGAGGTATTTGAAGCTGTCCACTCTCTCCACTGGGCACTCGTTGATGACGGGGG